TTTCGGGGAGGGCTTATTTTCAGGGAAGTCTTATTATTTTTGAGGTACAGGAGGGAGTGAGCGTGGTCACCTCATGGCTGCTGCTGTGTTGCAATATTTTCGGGGAGGGCTTATTTTCAGGGAAACAGGGTAGTAGACAACAAGGCATAATCTTAAACCACTACAAATTCATACAAGCCAATGTTATTTCTAATAACCAACTTCTTCAAAGACCAGAGCATTCTTATGGGATGGATGGCTGGGAGTCTAGCTTGTGACAGAGGTCTTTGGGCAGAGTCAGGAGCAATAGGACTTGACCCTGGTTCTCCACTGTGATTGGATCTGGGTTTTTGATTCTGACTCCTCCTTTTTCTCCTCTTCCTCCTTCTCCTCTTTAAGATGAGTCAGAGATTAGGAACAGGACCAAAAATAACTGTATTATTCCAGCAGTTTAAAGATGCATCTATCTCGATTTAAAGAAGCTTAAGTGATGCAAATTGTCCTCCAAATATATAGTTTTTCATGCAAAACTTTGAAAGAATATGATGTATGTTAAAATAAATACAGAATTAAGTATTGTTTTTTTCTTTTTTATTAGAACCTCGCTCCATGGCTGAACCGGGTAAGTATATTTATCCCAGTGCACCTGCTTACTAAATTACTTCACTCTTACAGACGTGTTGCTGTGATTAAAAACAAGCAAGCAGGTTCCCCCCACCCCCCAAAAATGTATTATTGCAGTTCCTGCTTCCCACACACTGAGGTATTCTCGTCAGTATGTCCCATATGCATAAAGCAAAGAGACTATATTGTTCAGGCAGGCTATATTAGAAAAGTTGATTCTGTTCCAAACATATAAAAAGGGACAGGACTTCAGTCACACAACTGCAGTGGTCACCTTGAGTGCTTTGACTCTACCTGCAATTATCCATGGACATGAACTTCTTCCATAATATGAAGCTAAATTATTTATTAGTGTATTGAAATCTGGAAGAAGACTTCTGCTCATGTTTGCCATTAGATATGGGGGATAAGGCCACTGCTCTTTTCTCTGACTTAAAGTTCTTGACTACAAGAAGTATTTATTTTTTATTTCATTTATTATTATTTATCAAGCATGTATAAGATAACAGATATAAGTATAAACATGATTATGAATACATGAAATGGATACAAATAAATGGAGATAATTAGGACAGGGATCGTAGGCACTTTGGTGCACTTACGCATGCCTCTTACAGACCTCTCAGGAATGGGGTGAGGTCGACAGTAGACAGTCTAAGGTTAAAGTTGTGGGAGTTGGGGAAGAAACCACAGAATTTGGTAGTGCATTCCAGACTTTGACCACTCTGTTGCTGAAGTCATATTTTTTACAATGAAGTTTGGAGCAGTTTACCTTAAGTTTGTATCTATTGTGTGCTTGTGTATTATTG